CTATTCAACTCACTAATGTGCAAGCATTTATAACATTTAAGAGAGATGGGCTTACCTTTAGTTGTCCTTATCAATAAGATCTTTTGTTCCACTATTTTTTATTGTGCTATTTTACTCTCACTATTTTTTGTTGAATTTCTCTCTAATTGTTACATGTTTTACCTTTGCTTTCCTTCATCTAGATCCATGCATATAGGATTTCTCTAACATCTCTATCATATCGTGATCAATATTATTATTTTATATATCCTTATATTATTATTATTATTATTTAAAAATTAAATATTAATTATTATCTTTCCTATTATTATATCTTGATTATTATATTATTTTGAAATCTTCAAATATTAAATATTGCATTATTTTGAAATCTTCAAATTATAATATTATATTATATTAAATTTTGATTATTTGAATTATTATATTATGATCTAGCTTGATTATATATTTTTTCATTATCTTCATATCCAATACCTTTTAACTTTTTTTTTTATATTTTACTGTTATAAAATATTGTTCTATTTTCATTCTTATTATTTCTATTTTTATTTTATTATGAATATTACCTTATTTATTTATTAAGACCCAGACAAAATGCGGTGTTCACATATTTTATAATATATTTTTATAATATGATATTAATATATTTATATTTATACAATTTTCAATTTATCTTTTAATTTTTCACAATTTATAAGTTCAAAAGTAAAATAAGATGTTTATATTAGCATGTTCAAAAGTAAAAAAAAAATTGTAAAAAAACTAACAAGTTATTGTTAAAATAATAATTTTTTTTTAAAAAAATGCAGCATTTTCTTTTCAAAAAGCCTTTTTCACTTGCTTGTCATCGCAATATTTAGCTTAAAAATTCATAAATCGCAAAAGGTGAAATTTAAAACTTCCGTGGAAGTAAAAGTACGTCCATACTTTAACACGAGAAACTAGACTTGTTTTTTATTTATATCAAGTGTGTTGTGTATAAACATATGCAGACAGAATGAATGAGTTGTGTTTGATTTCACTTTCAACTTCATATTCCACAGGCTTCATTGTTTTGTTTCAAATTAGTTTCATATAAAGCTTTACCTTATGTAGTTATTAATTGTGCATTAGGTTATTGGAATATTAATGCATGATGATGATCTACTCAAATATTTTGTTTAATTATTTTCGGAGTATTAATACAATAATATGCCTATCAATTCTAATGTTTGGAATTTTCTAACTGTGACTTTACTTTACCTCCCACAAGAGAAGTGGTGATGTTCATGTTAGATAAAATTTAACCCAGCCTGACTCAATCACACGGCTAAAAGTTATTTTGTTTTGTTGGTTTGTTACAAAGGATTTTTTGGCCATGAACATTATTAAGGTCATGCATAGCAACGAGATAGGTTATGGATACTTTTGTTTTTTTGTTTTTTTTTTCCTTTTGTGCACCCACGTTTTCTTATTGGAAACAACTTTATTCAAGACATGATCGGACACTAAATGTACATAAATCTCTAATGAAATTCAAATTTTGTTCTATTATACTGTAATGAACTAACTTATTCTGCGTGCACGTATTGAAAAGAAAATATATTGTTAATCAGTTTGATATAAATTTTTTTATAAATAATTTTAATGATATGAAAAAGGAAAAGTTAGGTCTCGTTTGATTACTAAAATGAAATAAATTAAAAAAATTAAGATAAAAATAAATTTAATCACCCTTTTTTCTATAGTAAGCATGATAAAAATAATTAATATATTACAATTGTGAAAATCATTACACCTTCTAAAAATCTCATGATTATAATTCAAATGTTATAAATTAAATTATTCTTTTTTCTTATAAATGTGACCGTCTATCTTCTTTGATAATTTTATTTTTTACTTTTTTTAAAAATTTATTTCATTTCATTTCTAATAAGCAAACAGGATCTTAAACTTAAAAGAAAGGCTAACCTTTGATATATCATCATATAATTTAAAATATTATTAGCTAAATACTTAAATGTTATGTCTTTTTTGTTAAACATTTGACTTTTAGGATTTCAAGCAAGTTCTGTCCGAATACGAGCTACATTCTGTTAAGCAAAAGCTTCTCATGAATATACACATTCATATAATATTCAAAGACAAGCCAAAAAAATAGGAAGAGACAGGTGAATTTTTTTCTTAATCCCATGCATTGCATGAGACATTTTCTGGTTTATTTGAAGACAATAAAATGCGCGCGCAGGCATTCGGGGGAAAAAAAACTGTCATATCCATGTAAAATTGAGAACTCAGCTCAACTATCATGTAATATTTGATCGGCAAATAGTTTTTTTTTAAATAGAAATGTACTTATTATATTTTTTAAATACGTTTTTCTTTTTTTAATTTCTAAAAAAATGCTCTTCTCAAATATTGCGGTTAATATAATTCAACCCATCATTATACTAAAAATTTAAAGATGCACCAGCTGTGTCACTCAAATTAAACTCGATCCAAACACTACTGAACTTTGAAAAGAGAGAAAAGAAAAGACCGTATCATTGTTCATTGTGGAATGGGGCACCTTCTGTGGGCGTGAAAGAATCCGCATGATCTCTGGAGACATAAACTCGTGGAGAATCTGTTTTATTCATTGAAAGTGACTAGTTTATGTTTTAGTCACATATCTGAACAATGATTCGGCAGTATCATTTATTTAATCACTTGCTTTTTCTCCAACATCGTAATTGTCAGCACATTTATATTTTGCAATTTGACAAAAAGTCTCTTGTAATTGAAGTATTTGCATCGTCGTAAAATATTTTTTGACTTCCTCAGATCACGTACCTGAACTAAAGTGCATCATTAAATATTCAACACGAACATGCATCACTCCTTTTATTGCCCTCGTTTTGGTTCCTTCTCGCCCCACTCAACTTAATTTTTTGTTCTCTCCAATCACCCCCCAGAGGCTAGACTGATCATCAAGGTTGTTGTTATTGTTGTTTTTTTTAATGTAACTGTCTAATTCCAGCATTGTCAAATTCAATTAAGAGCAACTCTTATAAAAGTACTTTTTACGTTCACACATGTTTCAGTTTGAGATTTCCTTAACGCTTTTTTTTTTTGTGTTAAAAAAATAAAAACTTGTTGCAAAATGATTTTAACTTTATGCTACATTTTTTAAAAAGGATACAACAGTGTACAAGGCGGACAATAAAACCTAATCTCTCATGGGATATACTACTGCTTTATTTGATTGGGAAGAAAATATAAAAGGAAAGAAAATATGGAGAGAAAACAGATTTTTTTTCTATTTAGATGGGAAAGAAAAAATGACTGGAAAGAAAAAGTAAAAGAAAAATAAGGGGTGGGACTCATTGTTTTTTTCTTCTAACTTTTTTCTCCAAAAGTTAAGAGATTTTGAGAGTAAATTTTTTTTTCATTATTTACCCTCTCTCTCTTATTTATTTCGCACTTTAATTTTCAAGAAACTACTTAATTACATTAATTTAATTTTAATTAAACAATTGATTTATAATTTTTAACTTTTATGATTATGAATTACATTATTTTAACTATTTAATTAAATAATTTAGTCATTGACTAAATCAAGTGTCCAGAATTACATTATTTTAATTTTAAAATATAATATAAAAATATATTTTTAACAGATAATTTGATATTAAATTAATTTGATTATGTAAATTTTAAAATAATTATGCTTTCAATTCATTTTCACAAACATAATTACATAAAACATGATATATTTTAGTTTAATATAAGGGCATTATAGTCATTATAATATCTATTTATTTTTGTCTCTCTATTTTCTTCTGTCCATCCAAACAAGAGGAGTGATAATATTTTAAATTTTTCCTTCTTTATATTTTCTTTCCTTTCAACTTTTCTTTCCATCCAAATGGAGGGTGAAGATTAAGGGGATGTAGGCTTTTTTTCAATTAGATTTGTTAGGTGTATATTAACTCTTTTAATACTTGAAAAATATGTATATAATCCATATATCAATCTCAAGTTATTAAGACCAGTCGATAATATATCACTAATTCAGGTTAGCGTGGCTTGTTTGTATTTTTAACTTTCAAACAAACGGCATGATATTTTGATTCTTAAGTTCTTAACAACTATAACAAATGGTTACATATGAGGATAATGTTAAACATTCGAAATTTTCAAATTATTTTTTAAATATTAAATATTTTTATAGTCAATAATTTAAATTATTATTTATAAATATTCATTCCAAATTATTATAAATTTTGGATAAACATGTACAAATAATATTTAAATTATTAAATATTAAAATATTTAACAATTTAATGATATTTATTAAATTGTATTTTAACAAAAACTTTAGAGTCCTATTTGTCAGTGTTAAATCAGTACACTTCGAAGGTAAATTAATACTAAAAATATGGTCAGAGTCCTATTTATTAATGCCCATGAACCTCATGTGCATGCTATATTAGTAGAAAACTAAAAAGTTAACAGGTCAATGGAAGGAATTTTTTATTAAAAAAATAATTCAAAAAAAATTATTTCATTTATTTTTTAAACAAAAGTTATGATTGAAACTTATTTTTTAATAATAAAAATTATATTTCATAAATTATAATTTTTTATTCAATTTTAACGATTCAAAGAACAAAAGTTATTGTTTCTTAATCAGGAGTTGTGATCAGGATTTATTTTTAATCACAAACATTATATTTGATAAATTATAATTTTTTATTTAACTTTTATGATTTACAAAATAAAATTTTTATTTTTTAAACAAAAATTATGATGGGATTTGTTATTTTTTATAAAAATAAATTGATATTTTTATTTTAAAATTTATTAATATAAAAGTTTTTTAAGATTTTGATAAAATTATAATATTTTGAAATATTAACTTATTATTTATGTAATTTGAGAGGTTAAAAAAAGTTGATAATAGTTATTTACACAGTCGTTTTTAACACATGGCTACAAGTATTTGTTATTTTACCCTTCTCGAATGCTTTGCACCGCACTTTGCCGAGTCGTGGTCTCTTGTGTGGAAAAGCGTTTAGACAGGGAGGATCCTGTCTTCTCTTTCCACCGCTTTGCTCTTTGGCTTATCGCACAATTCTCCATGAACTTGAATTTCTATTCGCTGACATAGAAATGGAGAACCCGTTTGAGTTCCATTCTATCGCCGGTTACTCTGAGCAGTCACCAATGGCTCCATCATTGCAACCAACTGGTTTCCAGGAGGAATTGACGGCACAGTCACACCACGTGGTTCCGCTTAGCGGGACATCGTCAATCGGACAGGAGCAATTAGCCTGGTCCTGTTCTCCTTCATCGGCGCCAATATCCGATGCTCCGTCGTCAGTGATGGCGGAGGTTCAGAGAGTGGAAGCCGGATTGGAGGAGGATGTTTCTAAGAAGCTTCGCGCTAAAATCTTCTTTCATCCTTTGTATCCTAAACTCCTGGACGCCTATGTCGAGTGCCAAAAGGTATAACTCACGTGAATAAGAAGTTAAGAACAACTATTTTCAGCCGATTTTCATTCTCTTCAAGTCTTCCTGGCCTGTTTCCTTTGAAAACGCGAAATATGTTGAAGTTGAGAAATCTTTGTGGTGTTCCTGGTTTTGAAAAGCGAAGAGAATGATATCCTGCGCATCCTGTTGTTTTATCGTTTCGTCAGTTTAAACAAGTAACATTTTGTAAAGCGGAAGCGTCATTTCCGGAATCAGTTTTTTCCACTCTTCGTTTTGTTGTGGTTTTCAGCTTAGAGTTTTATTTCGTTTCAGGCCAAAACTCCTTAATTCTTGCACTTGCAAAATTTCCGTACCCAATTCTCCCGCCTCCGGCACTGTCTTCGCGTAATCTGAAAATTGAAAATTTATGTTCATAGTTTGTTACATGACACGGAAAAACTCAACAGACTCTGTGTGTTATCTGAAGGCTATGTTTGGATGTAGTCATCACTATTTATGTTTGTTTTTTATTGATTTCAAGTCCATTTCACGAAATTAATTTTTCTTTCTACGTTTGCTCTCTCGATTTTAGGTTGGAGCGCCGCCGGCGATAGCAAAACTGTTAGACGAAATCGGACGAGAGAATGGCGAACTAAGTCAGAGGTCTACTTACGTGGGTGCCGATCCCGAGCTCGATGAGTTTATGGTCTCTTTTTCGGACGACTCACGAAAGTTTCAATTTTCAAACCCTAATAGTGGCTTTTCAGCTCTTTCTTTCACTCTTCTTTCTTAAATCGTATTAATGCATTGGGATTTTATTTTTGGTTAATCTGAAGGAAACGTATTGCGATATATTGGTGAGGTACAAATCGGATCTCTCGAAGCCTTTTGACGAAGCCACCGTGTTTCTAAACGACATGGAGATGCAGCTTAACTCCCTCTGCAACGGCCATTCGCGAAGCAACAGTTCTGGTTTTTCTCTCCTCTCTATGACCTTTTCTCTTGCTTGCTGATTTGCGTTGATAAACTTATATTTAATATCCGATGCCCGTGGAAAACCCTTTTGCGTTATCTGATTTCTGAAATCGAGACGAGGGCTTAGAACTTGTAAGCTTAGACTCCAGGATTCTCCGTTCAGAAGCACTTATGAAGTTATGCAGAAAGCGTTCATAAAATAATAAAATAATGCGAAATTAATGACCGCTTGTTTGCTGATCTTCCTTCCTTGGTGGTCTGATCTGTCTTTCTGCACTTTCTTGAGGACCCTGGAGTCTGTACACTGCTGACCAAGTAGTCTTCATCAGCTTGGAAATTTAGCACATATACATAAAATATACATGCATATGGTGAGTATGCATGTATGAATATACTCTAATGAGAAGAACCTGTATGTCATTTTCAATAGGGGATTATAGATAAGTCGCAGCTTTAATTAAATCTATTAGATAAGTTGCAGCTTTAATTAAATCTATCTTTTGATGCTAAGGTTGCCCCAGACAGTGAATTATGGTACACTAATTAGCAGCCATGTCACATGAAACAGGAGACTTGCAATTTTTTTACTTTTATGTTTTTAACATCCTTTGACTAATTAATCTGGATTACTGTTATATTATTGTAAGTATAGGCCTTGTTTTTGGTAGGGGTTTTGGCTTAGAACTGACGTCGCGATGAGGAGGTTAGCTCCTCTTCCTCCTCCTCCTCCTTTTTGATAAAATCGGTTTAGCTTCTTTACCATTAGAGTATTTTGAGATTTTTGCGAAACGGCAATAAAATAGTGCGTTATATATATAGTCTTATACAAATATGGTAATTATGAAAGAGGTCCTTCTCGCGAGAGAATGAACTGCCCGTAAGATTGCCGAAGTAAACGAACTTTCAACTCTTGCTTACTGCGATGACGTGTTGGGGTGAGATTCGGGTTTGAGTCTGACTTCTTGCGCTTCACGATAAAGCGCGCGTCGTCATCTGTGAGAACACTAGCTAGAAAGATGCAGGTTTGCTATTATAATAATTATCATTGGAAAAATTAGTAGTAATGTATTCCTGTGTTATTAGTACATCCAAGAGCTAGGGCAGCTAGCAGGTCTTTTAGTAAGGAGTAAATTTTCGTTCCAATTGCAAGCCTCATCCCATTCCATCGCTCAACAATCCACAGAGAGAGAGAGAGAGAGAGCTATAGAGCTGTTATGAATATATTATCATTACTTGATAACTTTATTTGCTATTTTTTATTCCCAATGTATATAAGACATTGTATATTTATAAAATTATTTTTATTCTATTCAGGTTAATAATATTCTTGTACTTCTTCTGGTCCCTTGTATATGTAATATGGTGCTTCAAAAAAAAAAAAATAATAGTGGGTCCAAATTATGAAGTATCTACTTCTAGTCAGATATTTAAATGATGTTCTATTTTTACTCATAATTTTAGAATCTTTTTTGTATATGGTACAAGGGCAGGATGAGATTCCAAGAATTAGTATGTTTTAATAAATTAAATAATTTTTCTTAATCTGCATGAAAAATGACTGAAACAACTTAGCTTATACAACAGATTGAGGGTAGTATTGTTTTATGAACTATTAATTATTACTGTCACTAGACTTGATAGTGATGTCTTTCTAGACTCAATGACTGTATAAAGTGCCTGCGTTGGTGTTTAAATTTAGTTTTTAGACCCTTTCAATGCCTGGGGTAAAGTCATTGACGTGAAGAGTTGTTCACTTTTATTTTAAAAACACCCAGCTACAGATAACGGTTAGCTTTCAACGGTTATTTTAAATAAACATTGAATTGATGAAGTCAGAAGCACCAGCTTTGATATTGATGATCAACATACAAAGATTCTGGATAGGAAATAATCCTTTTGTGCGAATGACAGAGTGAAGTACACTGACTACTGTTCCAAGTAGTGTGGCTGCACGTGTTAGGTGTACTGATCTCATCTTCCTTTGAAATCTAGTTAATACTTGTTTAATCAAACTTCTTGGACTTTCGAGACTATCTAGGTAATTCATAAATAACCAATGCATTATCTCCGATATCATTCATGAGTCACGTTTTACAATTTCTATTTAATTTCATTTATAAGTCTTAATATAACTTTTTAAATTATATTTAAAAAGTATTTTTAAAATTATCTTTTATGAAAAAAATAACATGATATTATTTTTTAAATTAGTTATACAGGGACATATTTAAAATTTTACACTTTTATTTTTTTTTACTTTTTTGACATGGATATTGATAAAATTGATAGAAATGAAAACTAAAGGAGTAATGCTCATGCTTTTGTTTCCGTAGGGTTTTAAGCAATAACTTATTTTCTTTATAATGATCAAAGGAGCAAGTATAAGACTAAGTGTTTATAATACATTTATTCATAGGCTATTTTGGCTCTCAGTTCCAGATAAAGCTGCTTCCTTGAGAGATTTTCTTGTCTGAAGGCTATGTATTTGGTGGAAAATAACAGCTGTGAGCGTGGAAAAGTGAGTTCTTTCAGGATTGTCGGATTCGGAAATGCACTTAAGCCAGACCTTTTGTTGGCTTTTTCAAATGACTTTCATGTGCTTTCTATAGTTTTTTCCAGTTGATTTCATTGCATGCTTGCGTTTTTTTTTTTCTTTTCAATTTTTCAAGGAGAAAACTGATATCAAAAGGTTGCTGAAACTATACTTTAGGTGTTTATGTCTTTGTGTAAACCTCATCTGAAATTCTGAATAAAAGTCATTGAGCATATATTTATATATTGTTTAGAATCTAATGTTAACGGTCAGGCTACTGGGAAGAAAGACAACTTTTTTTAAGCACGGGGCATCCCTGGGTGCTTCTTTTAAGATTTTGTGTTAAATCATTGCTATCACACAAATCAATCTCAAATTTTGTTACAGTAAGGTAGATATTATAATATTTTTTAAGTATTGTTAGCCTGAAGTTAACTATATATTTGAAGGGCTTGGTGGAGTGGTATACATAAGAAACTACTGAAGGCCAACAATCGGTAGCCTTTCCCTCCTTGTGTAATGTTGGTCGTTGCTTGATAGTTAATTTTCTGCTTTGAACCGTTGACGCTGAATTGTTGGATATTGTCAAGGATGAGGTACTGAGGGAAAACAGTGAGCTGACTGTTTGTTAAAACAAAAATCTGAGGCGCAAATATGACTTGTATGTTATTGCCAGTTCGGTTTAAGCATTAAGAAATGGACATTGTTGATCTGACTAAGTGACAGTGTTAAGGAAGAATCTAATAACATCAAGGTTGCCTTGTGAAATTATAATTCTAAATAGTTCGTTGCTTGACATTTCTTTTGAAGTTGATGATGTGCGGTATTGGTAGCATACATAGTTCTTGATAAGTTGATGTGTGACTATGTGTCAAGATTCGTGAGGAAGAGTTGTGCCACTTTCGATGGTTATCATGCTATTTCTCGTGCTCTCCAGTTTTCGGTATGAAAATAGTGGATGATCTGTTCTTTCTGTCTTTTATTGAATTGTAAAATCCTATTCTCAATTATTAGGTTTTAATACTGATGATACATGCACGTGAGAATTATGAGTATGCCTCTTAATTTTCCCCCCTCTCCAGACTCCAGGTTTTAACTTGCCCAGTGAACCCTTACTGCCGAAACCCTAGAAAACGAGACGTGTGTGAACAAGTATTTTATTTCTGTTTAACTGCCACGCAAACTGTAAGTTTCCTAATGATGTCTTGCATGTTTAATTTCACTTCCTTGAATTTGTCCACGCGATAAACGATATAATTGCCACGGGGGTTTGTTTTTCTCATGCGATTATAGTCGTGTGTATTTTTAGCTTCTCCAAGTTGATTTCATATTTTGCTGTTCATTTCTTCTTGGCTTGCTGTTTGAAAGGGTGGCTGATCGTTTGACTATGTATCACGAGCCTGCCTGTTTATTTTGCTGAAGTTTTATTTGGTTCTGGCTCTGGATTTTGCATGGATTTTCTTTTATATAGATTTATCACGTATTATCTGCATGTATATATATCATCGATATATCAGCAAGTATACGTGAAGTATAACTTACTTATTGAAGCCGGAGCGATGCGTGACCCTCAAATCTTGTTTTCACTAATACGAACTGGTGAGTTTTTAGAGTCTTAATTCTTTAGCATGCGATTTATACATTATATGAATTTAATAAATAAGTTGTAGTTGGCGAGCATTTTCTGTTAATTAATTATATATATTGATATTGATACGGTAGTCAATTAAATATTTTTATGTTACATGAACTTTAATTAAAAAAATAGTTAGTTAAAATTTAAAATGATATTTCTCTGGTTCTATTTATAAGATAGAAAAAGAGAAAAAGAATTTGGGCTTACTTATAAGATATTTGTTAATTTTTAACGTTCTTTTTTACATTTTTGTCTTTTTTTAATATTTTAAATAAAAATAACAATAACGAGAGTTAAAAATATTTATTAGAAGTAAAGTTGAAGATTTATTAAATTTTAAGATAAAATTAATAAAATTTTATTTGTTTTTTTTGTTCTTTTGATAAAACATGTAAAGAGTAATTTATAAATAGGATTAAAAAAATAATAAGGTATTTTTTGAGAAATTAGAGATTAAAAATGTAAGGTTTTTTTTAATCTTTTGAGAAGTAATTATTGTTGTTTTTGAGTGTTTTTATTAATAAATAATTTTATATTTATTGTATGATGTTTAATAAGAAATAAATATATAAGGATAGAATTAGTTTAAAAATGAATAATTATTTTAAAGGTGTGTTTGGTTGGGGGGAGGGAAGGAGAGAGGCTCTCTCCTTCCCCTTGTTTGGTTAGGAGGAGGGGAGATAATTTCCCCTCTCCTCTCCTCCCCGTCCCTCCCCTTATCTCCCTTTGAACCACCAAACAGGTCCTAATAAAAAGTAGGGTTGAATTAAAAATATTTTAATATGTTTTTTAATTTTAATACTGGATGTATATAAACAGCGATATATC